GCTGAAACGCTCTCACCGCTGGTTAGGGAATAAACTCGCCTGAGGACACTTGTTCCAGAATAATCTTCTCACTAGAACGGGGACATGAACCTTGGACTAACTAGAACTAGAGAAAACAGAACCTAAAGAAATCAAACAGGGAGCTGAGCTCAATATAAAGGAACAGACGCAGGTGGATGAGATCAGTGATAATTGGAGACCAGGCAGAGTTAGACAGGTGAATGAAATGAACAGTTAAGGGGACGCTATCAGGACAGATCATGACGCGGATGTATTGATGCGTAGAACCGCCTACTATAGATTGTACATCATTTTTTTTTGTTGGAGCCATTTTTTATGTTTTGCAGAATTTTAATTAATTTCAGAATACAATAATTATTTAGTGCATATTTAGTAATATAGGAATGTATTTAGTCATATCAATGTTTTATTTAGATACGTGCTTTTGATGGGCTGCTGGTTTGGTGTTGCACTGTCAGGACACACAACAAGAGAGAGCATCAGTCTTTTGAATTTTATTTAGATAAAAAGTTAAGAATTCATTTTTTGTTTGTAAATTTTCTTAAGTTCACCAAAGAAATACATCAAACTCAAGTTTCTGATTCAAGATTTTTTTATTTCTGTTATGTGTCCCGTCCCAAAGAACTTTGAGATTCAAAGCAACGGAAAGCAACGGCATTCACCACCTGGAAAGGACTTCAGTATAAAAATACCACTAAATTAAAGGACAGCTATTATGATTATTATTTCTTATTTTAAAAAATAAACCAAAAAGAAAACAGGAGAGTCTTGATTCTCCTCATTCTTTCTCTATAGAATAGAGGTTAAAGGTTGAATTTATTAGCAACTAGAACTCTGCTCTGAGACTCATCCTGCTGAACAACTTAGCCTCATGGTTACAACTAACCCCTTAATAAAAGGATAAAATACTAATAATATCTGCTCTGAGTTTCTCACATTTGAGGAGAAACATTAGAATTACAATTCTGGTTTGAATCATATCTGTCTGATCGAATTCAGTTTGTTCACGTTAATGACAAATCTTCCTCATGCTCTAAGGTTACCTGTGGAGTACCACAGGGATCAGTGCTAGGATCAATTATCAATCAATCAATAGAATAATCAATCAATCAATCAATAGAACAATCAATCAAATTTCTTTATTGTCAACTACAATTTACATTGCAATTGAAATTTCAGTTTCAGTACAACCGTTCAACACAATACGTCACATACATTGGGGTGGGGGGCTGAGAGGGGGAACTGATCTACTATCAGATCACCTCCATTATATGAATGTATAAATCAAACTATATACAATCATATCAGAGATCTGATTGTTCCTTATGTTCCTAACAGAGCACTTTGCTCGTAATCTACAGGTTTACATCATTTTGGATAGGGAATTCAACTGCCATGGGGGAATTCTCTGTCTAACCATGAATCATCCATATAAACACCATATTATAGCATAAGGGTGTCCATCGGTGCAGTAGGGACCAGGACACCCAATGATCAACTTTGCGGTCATATTGTTTCAATTCACTAAGCATGCTTGTGGCGACAGTGGAGAGGAAAAACTCCCTTTGAACAGGAAGAAACCTCCAGCAGAACCAGGCTCAGTGTGAGTGGCCATCTGCTGAGGCCGACTGGGGTTCAAGGAGACAGAAG